TTGTGACCCCCTCACCCAACCACCTGTCCCTCCTCCACAATCCCCGGACATCCCTCAGTAAGGCTGTCTAATGATTACCAATGTGCCTAAAAAGAGCAGAGATGAAAACAAACATTACCTTGACAACTCAACTCCTCTCCAAGCTCTACATAATGAAGAGCTCACTCTGACCCCTAGAGAGCTCTGGATGAGAAAGACTTCACAAATTGTCCCTCAGTTTTGGATGAAAACATCACGTAACATCACAAAAAATTCTAATAACGTCAAAGAACTTTAAATAAACATGTTCATAAATTAAGCTTAATGCTGATAGGATGATATGCAACAAAGGCCTAATATTACCTAATTTGATGATTCCAAGTTCAAAAATATCAATGAGAACTTTCCATTAGTTTTTTCCCCCACAAAATCTGTAACAATCTGTTGTTTGGATGTAGCAGAAAACACCTTGGTCATATGTATATTTTCTTTTGTCGATGTACATAATTCTAACCTTGAAATCAGGATTGGGTATTACATAACATCTTCAGAATCATTCATGTGAAAAATGGCTGAGAATTGAACAAATAGTTGTAACCTGGTTTAAAGGAAGATAGGAACTATGTTTTTTGCAGCAGATTTTCTGATGATTAAGGGGTAATACAATACTTCTTCACCTTAAAAATGGTTGTCGAAAGCAAAAATGCTTCAAAATGCACATCTTTTGTGGAAAAGTGCACTATTTTTGGAATCGGCACCCCAGAGAAACAAGTTCTGGATTTCATTGGGAAAATAGTGTTGTTTATCAGTCATTACACCACTCTACAATTCTGCATATGTATAATAATTTTGCACGGATACTGACTGAAACTGACACAAATAGAGACTCCATGACCTAAGGCAGTAACCTTTTTATTCATTTAAACTGAATGCAGATCAATGTAATACAGAGTGCACATGCAATATTTCATTTTTGAAATATATATATATATTTTCAAATGTCAAAAGATACTTAATTGTGTGTATGTGTGTGTATATATATATATATATATATATATATATATATCCGTTCGAGGTGCCATACATGAAAACAATCAGTAAGTTTGAAAATCAAGCATTACTAACAGTGGCACATGACAATAAATCAACAATTTATAAATTTTTAAAAGAAATCAAGCCCTATCCTGAGATAAACGTACAAAACACTCAAACAAGTTCAAAGATTTTTTTTATAAGAAGAGATAAAGAAAATGATATCTGAGGCATTGTGATATGAAATAATGCTTCCAAATCAAATGCATAATTCTTAAATGTCTCATTTGCATACTTTAAAAGGAGCGCTTGACGTTTAAAAACACTCCCATTGTGGACCAAACCAAACCCGTTTGTCTTTTTCCACAACACTCGTTTTCACTGATTATATGACCATGGTAACTTGTGTTTTAGCACACTGACCATATGTATTGATAAAGCTGATAAACAATCACAATAGAATATAGACTACAGAGTACAGTGATAGGACAGAGGAAATTCTTTACAATAAGATCCAATCAGCTGGTAATACTCAATTTATTTAAAGTGACGCTGATAATAGTCATGACAAAAACAAAGCTAGTATTAACAAATGTTTGTGCACTTCAATAACCTTCACAAACAAATTAATCCAACAAGATTTAAGAAAAACAACTGACTGATTAATCAATTGGAATTAAGGTAGGGAATTCTTTGTGCATAAGAGAATCTGAACTGAACTACAACAGAGCGACAATCTGATTCAGAAAGCTTCAGCTCACCTTGATAAAATGTTTGCAAGTGAAATTACAAGCAGCCTCTCAAATCTTCGAGGTATCATGGAAAATATTGAGGGTATTTTGATTATAATCAAGCATTTATAGTCATCACCCTATATATTCATACAGTAAACTGCAACTGTAATACAAATTATTTCAAGTATCATATTCAAGGGATTTCAGGAAAGTCACTATGCTTTGTTGCTGTGACTTTAGGAGGTACCAGTCCTCTGACAATATATGGTATTTGAAAATATTATTATTATTATTATATATTTTTTTTACTTCAGCAGGCAAGCTCATGCACCCCTAATATATTCTATTCCATAAGTTCTGAAAGAATTCAGAACAATGTTATAGTTATGATGATTATGGCAAAGCAGCGTTAAACCTGTAGCACTAGCACTGTACTCACACTTTAGGTTTTTGTAGTAGATATTTCATGAATAAATTCTGTGCAAAATACTCAGAATATCAACTTAATGTTAAGCGGCTATACCTCCAACTGGATTCGTCTGAAAGAAGAAAGTCATATACACCTAGGATGACTTGAGGGTGAGTAAATAATGGCCTAATTTTCATTTCTGGGTGAACTAACCCTTTAAGGCCCAAAACAGGCCTTAATTAATCACCCTCCTGCCTGGCCTGACAGAGCTCCCGGAGGATGTCTGGGTATTCCCCTCTGAAGCTCACAGCAAATCAGTCCTATGGTAGCCTACTGCTAGAAGCAAAATCGGCACTTTAGATGATGGGGCAAGTGCATACAAACATTCAGCAGCACCATTAATGCATTAAGCTCGTATTATCTACAGTAAATCTTATCAGATTTACTGATAAGCTTGTGCTTGGTGTGTGGAGCAGGATGGGGGAGTGATGACAGATCAGGACTTCAGGGAAATGGAAGTGCCCTTTTCTTTAGGGGCGGGAAAGATTGGAACTTGCATGAAATGTAGAAGGTGCTGCTCAACGTGAGCTGAAATGTTGACCTCACCTCCTCATCAAGAACATTGTGTTGATACATTTTCCTCCATGCAGATGGTTTATGAAAGTACTGACAGTGAAGAATAACAATAAGAGTGAACAACTCCTTACAAGTCAGCCTGTAAGTTAAGAAAAGGAATAATAGAAAGGTTTTGTTAGGAAATGTAACTAGTTGCAATGGAAAACAAAACCCACACCTTCTGTATGAGAGAATCTTTTGAACAGCATTTCCACATATAACAGAGCTTTTCTCCGGGTTTTCCATACACTGTTACTAGAAGCTCAGCAGATAGGCTTATATTAACAGGTGGACTAGAGTCAAAATTATATATGCAAATTATGTGAAACTACAAAATACTAAATGACTGAAGAAATTGGCAGCCTCAAGAGACCCGTTAGTAATGTTCGCTCAACACAGGAAGCCTGTTTCTGCCTCACAGAAAATTATTAAAAAGGTACTGTAATTGTCAAATGAAGTTTGAGTCACACTGTGAAATAAAGTCATAATTACAATAAAGTTGCATAAATTGAGGTATAAAGTCACAATTATATTTTGTGCTTGATTAAAGTATACAGAGAAAATTATGAGATTGGCACCAAACTCAAAGCAGCACAACTTGTCTCCCACACATAATTTTCATTGTAAAGTGAATTTCCCTCTGCAAATCAAACCGATGCCAGGCTTCACAAAGACAACATCTGGAATATTCATAATCCATTGTGTATAAACTGGTGTTAAAGGGATCATTCAAATATGAGCTCTATATTTTCACTATATAAGCCAGTGTATGGAAATCAAAAATGATAGTCAACAAAAGCACATGCAAACTGTTTATTATTATTTTAGTTTTTTGTATAAAATTTCAAAAACTTCATTTCAATCAAATTATCTATTATTTCATGTCAGGCATCACAGGGTTAATGATAAAAAAAATGTAATGAAGCGGTTCCCATTTCATTACATTAAACACACAACAAGAAAAGCCAAAAAAGGGCTTAGTACATCTGACACAAGCCCTTTCTGGGTCATCTGAACAAAGCCATCAGTAAATCAGGAAGCATAGAAAACATGCTTAAGTGCCCTTGCCACGTCTTCTCCTCTTCCCTGCCTCACAGATCACACTCATTGTGTCTTGTTGTGAGGCGTGTGGTTGCTATAGCTAAGTGGTGGTAGTTGCACTCAGTTACTTAATGCTATTATTTGTGACCCCCTCACCCAACCACCTGTCCCTCCTCCACAATCCCCGGACATCCCTCAGTAAGGCTGTCTAATGATTACCAATGTGCCTAAAAAGAGCAGAGATGAAAACAAACATTACCTTGACAACTCAACTCCTCTCCAAGCTCTACATAATGAAGAGCTCACTCTGACCCCTAGAGAGCTCTGGATGAGAAAGACTTCACAAATTGTCCCTCAGTTTTGGATGAAAACATCACGTAACATCACAAAAAATTCTAATAACGTCAAAGAACTTTAAATAAACATGTTCATAAATTAAGCTTAATGCTGATAGGATGATATGCAACAAAGGCCTAATATTACCTAATTTGATGATTCCAAGTTCAAAAATATCAATGAGAACTTTCCATTAGTTTTTTCCCCCACAAAATCTGTAACAATCTGTTGTTTGGATGTAGCAGAAAACACCTTGGTCATATGTATATTTTCTTTTGTCGATGTACATAATTCTAACCTTGAAATCAGGATTGGGTATTACATAACATCTTCAGAATCATTCATGTGAAAAATGGCTGAGAATTGAACAAATAGTTGTAACCTGGTTTAAAGGAAGATAGGAACTATGTTTTTTGCAGCAGATTTTCTGATGATTAAGGGGTAATACAATACTTCTTCACCTTAAAAATGGTTGTCGAAAGCAAAAATGCTTCAAAATGCACATCTTTTGTGGAAAAGTGCACTATTTTTGGAATCGGCACCCCAGAGAAACAAGTTCTGGATTTCATTGGGAAAATAGTGTTGTTTATCAGTCATTACACCACTCTACAATTCTGCATATGTATAATAATTTTGCACGGATACTGACTGAAACTGACACAAATAGAGACTCCATGACCTAAGGCAGTAACCTTTTTATTCATTTAAACTGAATGCAGATCAATGTAATACAGAGTGCACATGCAATATTTCATTTTTGAAATATATATATATATTTTCAAATGTCAAAAGATACTTAATTGTGTGTATGTGTGTGTATATATATATATATATATATATATATATATCCGTTCGAGGTGCCATACATGAAAACAATCAGTAAGTTTGAAAATCAAGCATTACTAACAGTGGCACATGACAATAAATCAACAATTTATAAATTTTTAAAAGAAATCAAGCCCTATCCTGAGATAAACGTACAAAACACTCAAACAAGTTCAAAGATTTTTTTTATAAGAAGAGATAAAGAAAATGATATCTGAGGCATTGTGATATGAAATAATGCTTCCAAATCAAATGCATAATTCTTAAATGTCTCATTTGCATACTTTAAAAGGAGCGCTTGACGTTTAAAAACACTCCCATTGTGGACCAAACCAAACCCGTTTGTCTTTTTCCACAACACTCGTTTTCACTGATTATATGACCATGGTAACTTGTGTTTTAGCACACTGACCATATGTATTGATAAAGCTGATAAACAATCACAATAGAATATAGACTACAGAGTACAGTGATAGGACAGAGGAAATTCTTTACAATAAGATCCAATCAGCTGGTAATACTCAATTTATTTAAAGTGACGCTGATAATAGTCATGACAAAAACAAAGCTAGTATTAACAAATGTTTGTGCACTTCAATAACCTTCACAAACAAATTAATCCAACAAGATTTAAGAAAAACAACTGACTGATTAATCAATTGGAATTAAGGTAGGGAATTCTTTGTGCATAAGAGAATCTGAACTGAACTACAACAGAGCGACAATCTGATTCAGAAAGCTTCAGCTCACCTTGATAAAATGTTTGCAAGTGAAATTACAAGCAGCCTCTCAAATCTTCGAGGTATCATGGAAAATATTGAGGGTATATTGATTATAATCAAGCATTTATAGTCATCACCCTATATATTCATACAGTAAACTGCAACTGTAATACAAATTATTTCAAGTATCATATTCAAGGGATTTCAGGAAAGTCACTATGCTTTGTTGCTGTGACTTTAGGAGGTACCAGTCCTCTGACAATATATGGTATTTGAAAATATTATTATTATTATTATATATTTTTTTTACTTCAGCAGGCAAGCTCATGCACCCCTAATATATTCTATTCCATAAGTTCTGAAAGAATTCAGAACAATGTTATAGTTATGATGATTATGGCAAAGCAGCGTTAAACCTGTAGCACTAGCACTGTACTCACACTTTAGGTTTTTGTAGTAGATATTTCATGAATAAATTCTGTGCAAAATACTCAGAATATCAACTTAATGGTAAGCGGCAATAAAAAATAAATTAAAAAACACCTCAGTATTTTTCAGCATCATCACTAACCCTGAATGTCCCAAAGTCAGCTTTGGACCTGAGATTTTCTTTGTCAATGATTGTTTTATAAGAAGTGGCTCTCAAGTTCTCTCATTTGTGTAGCTGCCTGTGTGTTAGTCACATCATTTACATTAATTATTGTGATTATTTACTTGCTTATTGACATTTAAAAATGAATGTCATTCTACTAAATGGCCTGACAGCAAAACTGGTGGGAATATGGCTAGAGGTCTCACTTTCTGACCACAAAGTACAGCTTCAATCACGAATGATCCTCTCTCTGATGATATCAACACAGTCTTTCAGATCTTACCCTCTCAAATTAGAGTGGAATAGATCACCATTACAAAGTCTTTAAGGGCCGGGGTGTGATTTCAAATGGCTGGCTGAAATTCCTGACATGTTAAAAACAAAGCATTCAGTTACACGAAACAAACTCACAATGAACCTCTTCAGCGGATGGCACACAAGTGCTGCTTAAGACAATAGCTAGAACCACAACAAACAGATAAAAGTGTAAGAAATAACAAAATAATTAACAGTTAGTGACCATTTTGATTATATATAAAAATGTATGCAATGACTTGTATTTCTGGATGGCTTGGAACCGTTGTGTTACACGTTGGTGGAGATCTTGTACTTCGGTGACATGTTGCTGTGGAACCAGATGAAGCTGAAAATGACACCCATCGTTTTAGGGATGCTCTCATCAAAGGCAAAGGTCATGGCTTCGTGAAGGGGAACTTTGACCACCTCGATCAATTCGCCCTCTTGGGGTTTACCTCCTCCCTCTCCGACACGATTCTCCTCGGACACCTCTGCGTAGAACATGGTCTGCTTCGATCCAGTCACTCCGACTCCTGACCTGTGGGGGAGGAAAGCACAAGGGACTCAGGACACTTGATAATAACAAGCCAAAAAGAGCAATACGAGAACACAGAAACCAGGAGATGCCCCAGTTTTCATTCATAAGACACTGCAGCTATAAACTGTGAATGCAACTATGAATGTTCTGTTTCGCAAGATGTAAGCTAAAGAAGCAACATTTGAGCGAAATAAATGCTAATGCTAAATACAACTCTTAAGATTTTATTTCTGATTTCGAATGTTATTGAACTGCAATTTTTTTTCGCATGATTTGAGCTAAAGTAGCCAAATTGTTGCTAAATGCTAATGCTAAATACAACTCTTAAGATTTTATTTCTGATTTCGAATGTTATTGAACTGCAATTTTTTTTCGCATGATTTGAGCTAAAGTAGCCAAATTGTTGCTAAATGCTAATGCTAAATACAACTCTAGTTAATTTTATTCCTGATTTGAAATGTAACCTTGACAAACAGCTTCCCAGATAGCACACGTACGTCTGCTAAAGATCGCTTCATCTGGAAAGAATCTGCTGTGTACAAACATCTGATAGATGTCTTTCAGACGTCAGATTTACATTCTAAATCATAACCATCTTAAGGACATCTTCTAAACATCTGATAGGAAACCTCCTATAGACGTATTGCAGATGAGCAAACACTCAAAAAATACGTCTTGCAGATGTAAATGTAAATCAGTGTTAGCACATTTTTAGCATGATTTAAGCTAAAGTAGTCACATTTTTGCTCAATATTAATGTCATACACAGTTGTTAAAGAGTCTATTCCCGATTATTTATTCCTCGTGTTGTAACTTTGATAAGGAGTGCATTTTAACATGATTTAAGTTAAAGCCACATTTTTGCTAAATGCGAATGCTAAATACACTGCTATTAGCTTTTATTTCTGACTTCAAATGTAACATTGACAGACAGCTTATATTTTTAACATAATTAAGAAGCTGAGCTAAGAAGTTGAATTTTCTGCTACTATACCACTGTTGTCAAATTGTACTACTGATTTGAAATGTAATCTTGCCAAACAGCTTGGTACATCTCTGTCTTTCCCCATTCAGATAGGAACTGTACTTCGCTTCCAAGATTATAACCAACCTAGAAACTAGCTGCCCAGGGGTGTTACCCAGATGACCAGCAAGTGTAATTAAAAGCCATTAAAAGCACTTACTCATGAAAAAAAACTCATGAGTAAAAATAAGTTTCTAAAAGCCCCTTCTTTTCCTAGTATTTTGTAGTCTGAAACAGATTTTTTTAAATGAGCTCATGAAATATGGAAGAAAATTACAAGGCTGTGTTGCCTGCACACCATCGAAGTGATGGATGATGGCCTGAGGAGGCAAAAATGGAATAAGCCCCGGCAATCACTTTCTAGGATGAGTTTAACCACAATGGGTGCATTGCAAAACATGACTCTACATTTGAGAGGAAGAATTTCAAGAGAATCTCCAGGACTCCACCGTGTATGTTAACAATGAGGAATGGGGTCTATGCTGACACCCACTCATGAAGAATAAAGACAAGAAATTACAAATGAACTGTTCTGAACGGCTCTAAAGGGGCCAGAAGATACAGTACTTCTACGGTATTTCTATTAAATCTTTGGACAATTCCAGTTTCATAATGTTTTCAACACAGAAGATAGAATCCTCCTCTCTTTAGGAGAAAGTTTAGCACTACAAATGTCAGTGTGGCTCTATTATTCTGATGCTAATTTTGCAAATTGAAAGCTCAATTCAGATGACTCCTATTCCTTCAGTACTGCCCAAAATAACTTGGCTTAATTTCTGTGATATTAGCTTCACCAAACAGAACAGAAAAAATAATGACATAAGCAATGTTTTGATAGAGCCACAGTGCTTAAACACTTTGGGACAGTTTTTTATTTTATTTTTATAAAGCAGTTAATGCTTTTATTCAGCAAGGACATATTACATTGATCAAAGGTGACAGTAAAGACATTTATAATGTTTCAAAAGAATTCTATTTCAAATTAATGCGGTTTTTTTAATTTTCTATTCATCAAAGAATCCTGAAAAAATAGTATCACAATTTCCACCAAAACATTATGCAGCTCAATGTTTTCAAACGTCATAGCAAGAAATGCTTCTTGAGCATCAAATCAGTATATTAGTATGATTTCTGAAGGATCATGTGACACTGACGATTCAGCTTTGCCATGAATGAATTGCATTAAAAAAATATATAAGAGGGGTCATATGATGCGATTTCAATTTTTCCTTTCTCTTTGGAGTGTTACAAGCTCTTGGTGCATAAATAAGATCTGCAAAGTTGCAAAGACTAAAGTCTCAAATCCAAAGAGATATTCTTTATAAAAGTTAAGAGTCAACCACGCCTACCTAAAACGGCTCGCTCTAACACGCCCCCACATGTCTACGTCACGATGTGGGAAGATTTGCATAACGCCACCCAAATGTTCACGCAAAGAAAGAAGGCGTAACTTTTATTCTCGCTGTAGTATTGTTGTTGCCGCCGCTGCCATGTCGTGAAGGCGCTGTGTGTTTCGTTGTGAAGCGAAACTACTTTGTTTGGTCTTCCAAAAGACGACACGACTAGAAATCAGTGGTTAAGTTGTACTTACAACACCGTTTCAGAACAGTTCAACCCAAATATGGTTTTATGTGTCCAGCGCATTTTATGGAGGACTGTTTCCTGATCCTGGTAGAGTAGACTACAATGCTGGCTGTTCTGACTCACAGACTGTAAGTACGTTTTTTATATTTAAAGAATTTGCCACTGATGATTCAAACGCAAGTTTTGGGCAGTGTAGAGTAGCGTTTGTAGTTTGTCATTTCTCCGATCACAAATGCAGACATGGTTTTATGTTTACGCGGCGCAATGCAATGCAACACGTAAAAAGACAGTATAAGTCATTATAATCCGTAATTATGTCCCCACTGGATGCAACAAATGCCTCGTTTATAATGGCTTTTAATGTTTTTGTCTCGTCGCTCCGGCATGACAGGGCATCAGAATATGGCAAGGGGCGTAACATTTCCATCACACGCTTGAGGTATTCGGCCAATCACAACACACTGGATAGCTGGCCAGTTTAACATATTTTTGACAAAAAAAATGCAGCCTTGGTGACTATAAGAGACTGTAAGGTTAAGAATTGTATTAAGTGATAAACAATGTCAGAAAGAGAGAGAGAGAAAGTTCATTTTGGCTGCTTTAACCAAGTTGACATATTTATAAAGCAATCTGGTTGGTGCTGTGGTCCAGTGGTTAGTGTAAATACCCATATGGACAATGTGTAATTTCCTCACCCTCTTCTACACAACATTTCCTGATCCCTCTTGTTTCTAATAACTAAAAGTGGAAAAGGAGGGGGGAAAAAAAGACCATTTCACTTTTTAACACAATCAAGCAGAAGAAGGTAATTCCTTTATGTCCCTACTCAGCCCATAAAAGCAGCAGGTGCAGCGTGAGGTTCACAGGTGTTTAGAATGGTGCAGTTGGCAGGTGCGTCTGACCATGTCTGTGTGTGCCACTGTGCATTTGGGAGGAGGATCCTTTGTGACTCCATGTGGTATTTAAGCTAATCAGAGATGGCTGTGGCACAGGTCACAATAAACAGCACCAGGCAGATGTTGCAGGCCCACACACACACACACACACAGGTGTGTGACTCTGGCAGGTGTGAGGCGGCAGAGGTTTACGACGGTCTCGTCAATGAAGACTGATAAGAGCATAATGCAGCACTGTTTCTTCTACTTTTACACATGAGATTGGGACCCATTTAACCCCTGGATACTTTATCTGAGTTTCTTTACTCTGGGGGTTTAGGGCTGGTAATGATGGAGATGAAGGTTAAATATTAAATAGGGAGAGAAAAATCAGTTGAGATAACAAAAAAAAAAGTATGTCAGCCATGACATAGTGCAGTATTACCAGACATTTATACATTCCTTTCTCACACACACACTCTACTGTTCAAAATTTTGTGGGGATTACGATTATTTTTTTTATGCTTTTGAAAGAAGTCTCTTATGCTCACCAAGGCTTAGATCAAACATACAATAAAAAACAGTAATAGTGTGAAACATTATTACAATTTCAAATAACGTTTTTAAAAAACATTTTAAAAAGTATTTTATTTCCTCTCATGACAAAGCTGAATTTTCAGCAGACATTACTCCAGTCTTCAGTGTCACATGATCCTTCAGAAATCATTCTATGCTGATTTGCTGCTCAAGAAACATTTTTTTTTATAATTGTTGAATCTTTGATGAATAGAAAATTAAAAAGAACAGCATTTATTCAATAATAATTTTTGTAACTATAAACATTTGTAATTATATTATAAATATATTTACTATCACTTTCTGACTGATCAAAATTAAAGGCAGAATATGTAAGATTTTTTTATTAAAATATCCAAAAAACACTAGAACAGTGTTATATATTTTGCTGACTTGTGTACTTACATTATCCCAAATGTTTCGAAGAATGTTTAAATCCAGAGAAATAAGCAATTTTAACTAGTGACACAGAGCGTGTCCATAGTGTTATTGTGTCGCCTGCCAATGACTTCATAACCCCTCGATTTCCGGTTTTGTTTTGTAGAAAACATGGAAACACCAAAGACGCTTTAATATGTTGTGCATTTTATTAGACCGTTGACGACCGCACAGAGTAGCATTATAACAGAACTTTCAAATGTATCTAGTGTGATAAAACAGCGCTGCTTTTTCCCCACATACACACGACTGGAAGGAGTGGAAGCAGTCGACTGTGGCATAATAAAAGCTCTGCTGCTTTCGTTTTGCTTCGACGGCTTTCAGCCTCACCCACCTATGGGGATGAAGAAGACAACTCCCATGATTCCACACTCAGTCACGGCGTCATCAAACTACACCTTTGTCTATTTGTTTATTTTGAATACGCGCCCTCTAGCGGCAAAAATTACATATTGTGCCTTTAATGCCTCCTTGCTGAATTTTTTTTTACATTTCTTTCAAAAACAAAAAAATCATACTGATAGTAATAGTAGTATAATAGTACATATATAGTTTCTTCTTAATATACTGTGTGTAAAGGATAAAAATATAACCATATAATCCTGAAGGGGTCTATTTTGTGAAAATGACTGAATGAATGAATGATGCATTTATATCTGGGTCACTTTACAAATATATCTGACTGCAGAAAGCTGTGATTGACCAATCAGAATCAAGTATTAGATACCAGAGAGACATCTAATAAAGAAAATAAATAAGCCTGCAAAAACCTCATGACTTGTTTCATTATCAGTGTATCACTGATGAGACTGCTTGCGTTATTACTAGCCACTTTCACACTTGAAAGCTGCTAAATTTCCAGAACAATTAAAATTTCTTTCAAAAACAAAAAAATCATACTGATAGTAATAGTAGTATAATAGTACATATATAGTTTCTTCTTAATATACTGTGTGTAAAGGATAAAAATATAACCATATAATCCCGAAGGGGTCTATTTTGTGAAAATGACTGAATGAATGAATGATGCATTTATATCTGGGTCACTTTACAAATATATCTGACTGCAGAAAGATGTGATTGACCAATCAGAATCAAGTATTAGATACCAGAGAGACATCTAATAAAGAAAATAAATAAGCCTGCATAAACCTCATGACTTGTTTCATTATCAGTGTATCACTGATGAGACTGCTTGCGTTATTACTAGCCACTTTCACACTTGAAAGCTGCTAAATTTCCAGAACAATTTTCCCACATCCATTATTAGAAAAAGCAGCAGCTTTCAGCATTTTATACTCACTGACATCACCAAAATACATTACATCCGACACCATTTGCAAGAAATAACCTCTAACCACAAACCGACTGAAATTTGATGACATTTATTAACACAATGTTGCTAGCTAGCTACATCATGCTAATAGATTTTGACTTCGCATCACATGGGCCAATACGTAAATGCTTTGGATTTAGGTTTTTTTGCATTGCAGTAGGTCAATAAATGCTTTTGTGGTTTTCTCTATGTGCAATCTAAACATTGAACGTTTCATTTGGAAACGACTAAAGATGGTCACTAGACCAAATAAAAAAGCTTGAAAAGTCAAGAATGTGCAACCCATTTGAGAGAAATGACCTGAATGGATGTGGCAAGGTTATAAACGGTATTGTTTATAAATGTTTATCATCCATGTTATTCTTAGGCAAACCTTTCAACATAGCAACACTCTCTAACAGTAGTTATAAAATGGCACTTGATATCCGTTACATATCAGATGTTTTTAAAAATCTGCAGCAGAACAAAAGATATTTCATCATCTCTTTCAAGTAGAGATAACAGAGGGATCTGGGTGTTGTACGTCACTCTGTAACAAGATCCAGTATAAATTAAGTATGTGTGAAAGTGTTTGAAAATGAGTCTTTGTGAAATCACTGTACAGTGTGTCAAGCTGTTGTTCTGCTGTCAAATCATGCTACAAAAAAGTGAGAATAACATATTAAAAGAAGGTTTAGGGAAGTTTTGAATGTATCTGTCCCGCACAGGCTCTTGGGTTGTGTGGGATGAGAGGAGTATAGGTTAGACAGACAGATATGAAACGAACAGGAAATATTAGTTTAGGTGTAAAAAGACTTACTTCTTGATTTTTAACAAGGCTTTTCTAACAAGGCTGTGCAAAATTCCCAATTTAATTTAGAATGGTTATTAAATTCAAAATCAATTTCAGAATTGTAATTGAATTTGAATGAACAAACGGATGCAGCATTGATATGCTAATTTAAGGAAGCAGAATTGGATTAGCCGTGCTGGATTTCTTTTCATTAGAATGACAGGGAGTGGAATGAACTGCAATGCAATTTAAATTCCAACTCATTAACTGAAAGGGAGCCATTTCTTCATTTCCCTTCACAACCCTGATATCTAATTGAAAAACCTTACAGCCTTAAACCTTCTGAAGGTCTCAGGGAAGTAAAAAAAAAAAAGGCTGTACAAAACATTCATTAAGTTGGTGTGAAGAAAACAAGATTACAACTAAAATCGAGCAAAATCAAAGAATCAAAGACTGTGGAAAAACATCAGGAATTAACAAAGACTGCAGGGTGTTACCTGGGCGGAACTGCTTGACCAGGATGAAACAGTGTGAGGTGGTGTTGAAAATCAGCACAGAGACACTGGAGAGAGGAAAGAAAGGAAAGAGCAATGGATTTAGAAGTTTAGTGGGCATTTCGAAAAACAGTTCCAGTTGATGAGTACTCGACAATAGTTTCCTTACTGTTAATGCATCCAGTCCTGCCAGAGCAACAACACAACTGATCCAACAACTCATCTAGGCTTAGTGATAAAGAGAGAAAGTGAATGTGAGCATGTGTGTTAGAGAGAGAGGCACATGGACACCCTTGCTCCATCAAGCCCCAACAAATCACCCTGGATTAACACCTTGGATGTGGTCTTGGGTTTTCACTTTATCTCAGTTTGAGACTGAACATAATGCATTAAGAAGAAGAGAATAAATCCCTGTGTTTTAAGGATCTCTGTATAATAGGATTTATCCACTGAATCATACTGGGATAGCAGGGCCTTGTTGGACTGAAAGCAAGCTAATAGCTCAGCATGGCATGAGGTCAGGGGACAGTGTATAGCACTTTCACACTCATACAAGCGACATCTTCCCCCACTCAACTAGGACAAAATGCTGAAAAGTTAGTGTTTACTATTGTCATTTTGTATTATTGACACACTATTTTCCTAATTAATGCTGTTGCTTTGACACAATCTGTATTGTTAAAAGCGCTATATAAATAAAGGTGACTTGACTTGACAACACAATGACATAACATCTGTCTCGAGCATTTATGTGAGATTTTAAATAGACAATTCATTGATAATAGGCTGAAAGTCAAATGTATTTAGTCAAACGGCTGTATTAATTTGAACTTCTAGAGATGGATCTTAATAGTAGGTATAAACGAGGAATAGTTCACTGGAAAATGAAAATTTGCTGAAAATGTACACACCCTCAGGCCATCCAAGATGTAGATGAGTTTGTTTCTTCATTGCAACAGATTTGGACAAATTTAGCATTACATCACTCGCTCACCAATGGATCCTTTGCAGTGAGTGGGTGCAGATAACTGAAAAAAGCTGAGTGTGTTTGTAAGAAATAAATCAAACATTAAGGCATTTTAACTTTAAACCATCAGCCAAAATTTGAGTCCATAATCCATTTTCCTCCAGTGAAAAAGTCCTCTCACATCAAAATAATTGTTTAGAACTCGTTTCACTTAATTTGTGCTTAAGTTATGCATATTTCTTTCCTGACAACGTTTTCTCTGGAGAAAGTAATATTATGGATAGAAGACTCATATTTTAGCTGGAAACAACAGTTTGAAGTTAAAAATGTTTTAATGATAGATTAATTTAATTTCTTATAAACACAAAGCTTTTCTTTTCACAAAACTTTAATTGATGGACTAGAGTTGTGTGGGTTACTTGTAGGTTATTATGATGTTTTTAACAGCTGCTTGGACTCTCATTCTGACGGCACCCATTCACAGAGGATCCACCGGTGAGCAAGTAACATAATGCTCAATGTCTCCAAATCTTAATCTTTTTGGGGTGATCTATTCCATTAACTTGTGGACACATTAATACAATTTTGGCAAAATATTCCGCATTGCAAATGGATAGCAATGCACAGTATGAATCACTGCTTGAAGTCACTTTCAAAACAAGCAACCTCCTATTGGTCGACACGGCAAATGCGTGGGCAACTTGAAATCTGTTTGGGCAAATCTTCACATGAAATTCCCAATTGTTTTACGGCGTCCTATTGAAATGACTGGATTTTGCCTGCAAAATTCAGCAAATGACAGTAAATGTGACCGCACCTTTAGAGTGCAAGATTTGTTGATTGTCACAGGCCTCATTTCATTCTAAGCTATAATACGTTGTATTAGCGCGATTGTTTCAATGGCAATGGAAAGAGACGGCTCTTTGAGTGGTGAAAGCGGATATGTCTGTAGAGGCAGGAAGCCCTGCCCTGCCTTTCCCATGGTGAATGCGTGCCAGAGATTACCACAGACTGAATATACACCTACACGCACTCTTGAATCTTACCCACAATATGCATTCGCATACAAGCATTTGTTCTCTGCTGAGTTTTTTTTTTACATGGCTATACACACAAATAAAAGTCTTATCAAAGAGATGCACAACAAAGTATATCAGTAGCATTTTGGTTATCAACTGATATAGACTTTTTTAACTTATCAATTCTGTTTTTTAGTTCATACTCTTTTTCTGTATTGAATTCTTAGACCACCTTTGTCTCTTACATTTCATCTTTAAAAACACTAAGAGTTTAGTGATGCACCAAAATTTCAGCAACTGGAAATAGACAAAACGGGGGGAAAAAAATGAATTAATTTTCGGTTTCAGTGAAAAAGGTTTTGGAGGGTCAAAATCATTGATCAAAAAATGATAGAGCTTCTTCAATGAGGAAGACACTCCTGAATTGACATGACTCAGATCATACACAAACTTTTGGTAGGAAGCGCTATCATCTGGAGACACAATGATCTGATGGTTTGAGGCCTTATTAAGAGGGGCCCTGAGGGGGAAGTAGCACACATCCAGTGTCTATCAGATAAGATCCTCCTTTTTCTTCACTGTTGATGAGCTGTGGACTATCCCAAATGAAGAGTGCAGTCTGGGTCAAAACTTGAAAACTGCAGCTGATAGGTCAGTGCCCCAGCGAGCTGAGGCATGTCTGAATGGCGCGCTCCTCGCCGCTTCACCTCTCGTCTCTGAAAATCCTGTCAAAGTCACGCAGGATGCGTCACACACCGTTAAGCATGCTGTCCATTACGGGTGTTTGGTGCTCGCTGCAGGATGCGATGCAATGGGAGCAGCAGCAAAGAAAGCAGAGGACTGGTGCTGGTGATTATAAGAACCAATAACATCACATACACAGACAACAATAAACACTCATCAACACTCTTGAAAGTCCTCACAAAAGACAATGGCTACCAACTCAACCTCACAAACACCAGCAGAGCTCTCAATAGACTGTAGCAATGGCATTAATGACCTGAACAGATGCTGATCTTAATGGCTTTACCTTTCAACTACAGATCACCCCATTCATCAATCCACCAAACAGTGCAAACAATGAGTAGGTTATACGGTGACATCAAATATTTTAACAAGTATATTTTAACATACACAAAGTTTGGGGTTGGTAAGTTTTTTTTTTTTTTTTTTTATGTTTTTGAAAGATGTTTATGTTGCATTTATTTAATAAAATAGAGTAAAACAGTAATATTGTAAACTATTTTTACAATTTGAAAAATAACTTTTATATTTGAATATATTTGTACAATTTAATCCTGTGATGGCAAAGCTGAATTTTCAGCAGCCATTACTTCAGGTTTCTGTGTCTCATGATCCTACAGAAATCATTCTAATATGCTGATTTGGTGCTCAAGATACATTTCTTATTATTATCTATGTTGAAAACAGTAGTGCTGCCTTTGTGAAAAAAGTGATTTCTTTTTATTCAGGATTCTCAGATGAATATTAATTTTAAAAGAACAAGATTTATTTGAAACAATTTTTTGAAAATGTCTTTACTGTCATTTTTGATCAATTCAATGTGTTTTTGTCAAGCAAAAGTATTAATTTCTTCAAAAATTCTTACTGCCCTCAAACTTTTGAATGGTAGTAGGGCTGCACAATACTGGAAAAACTTTTTTTCTGCGATATATATTGCGATATGAAGTATTGAAGATGACTTCAATAGCTCTATTTGGAAAAAAATAATCAATGATTTGCGTGATTTTGTAGGCGAGTAAATCAGCATAGAAAATAAACAAATTATAAGCATAGATAAATAACAGAACAAAGATACAAATTAAATAAGCAGTGCTTTATATTTTTCAGGTTGCCTAAATCTTACGTATTCAGGTACAGAAATTAAATAATCAAATGTAAAATAACACTGCATAGCCTTCATTGTATAAATTAAATCTAATAAATCTGTGTTAAAGCTACAAAAGTGAGTTTTCTTTGTGTTTTGTTGTTTGATTAACGTTCACCAATATACTATTACACGTCCATTTTCTTTCTCTATTGTTTACCTTCACCTAAGCCCAGGGCCGTATTAACCATTGGCTAGGCGGGGCTGAAGCTTCGGGGCCCGAACAAGGACGGGGCCCGTGATTGGCTGTGGGGTAAATAGACTGGCGCGCCGATTGCCAAAGTCACCACGCCCCCCACTTATTAGCGCTGTTATTTAGTTGAGCTTTTCCGTAAATTCCATGCATTACATTTGAGATTGAAGCTTAAAGTCTGAATTTGGTTTACCAATCTAATGCATTTATTCTATATTTGACATTTGAACGACATGTGCACGTATCTATCAGGTGATCGCTGCCCAGTAGCCTATGTTTGCATTCACCTCCACTCTTCACTTCGTTCTGGAGTAATCTGGAAATGTTCGCGCAAAGAACAATATTCTAGAAGTAAAAATGTCAGCAATTCTGAGAGAGATGAGGGCTCAAAAAATGAAAAACTTCAAATACAAACAACAGAAAAAAAACATAAGTTAGTAAACTCCCCTATCAGGTTACTAAAGCTGATGATGCAGTGGCGGTAACTTCAATCAACTGTTGTTGGAACAGCAAGTGAACCGGGCACATGGGAAAAAAACAGCATCATCGTCTACACGGTTAGTTTGATTATTAACTGGATGTCCTATTGTTTTTGTGTTTGAACAAACTCTATATATTCATTTAAGGATTGGGAGATAATCCGGTAGAAATGTATTAATAGTTTTGCTCGTCAAGATGTAGGCTAAGCTTATCATTTAAACGCGTTTTAAGCAGGTTTTAAAACAAATGTTTTAAACTGTTAATGAACATTAAGCAGTGGGGCAGAATTCATTCTGCTAAATGCGTGCATTAAGACGGTTTCAGCCTGATTCGCGCGGACAAAATTTTCGCCTTTGCGGCGAGTATCCTCGTAAACACAGTTATTTGTGTCTTAAATGAGCGTTAATAGTTAAAGATAAAGCATGTGTAGTGTTAGGCTATATGAGATCCTGGATTAGCCTCTATGATTAGGTCTTAAAAGGATAGTTCACCCAAAAATGAAGCTAGCCTGTCATCATATACTTAAACTCAAATTGTTCTAAACCTCTATGAATTTCTTTGTTCTCCTCAACATAAAAGAAGATATTTTGAAAAATGATTGTAACCAGTTTCTGGTCCCCATTGCCTCCAATAGTGTTTTTTTCTCTCCATAAAGTCATGGTGGCCCAACTATTGAACCATGAACCAGTATTGTTCAAAATATAATATTTTGCATTCAACAGCACAAGGAATCTCATACAGGTTTAGAACAACAACAGAATTTTCATTTTTGGGAGAACTATTCCTCTAAAGCAGCCTAATATAGCTGTTGCCATTTGTGTCAATAATGTAAATCAAACATCAGAAGGAAAATCACTTACTGTTCTTGACTGAATCACTTTTGTCAAATAAATAAGAATGAATGTATATTGAATATATACAGTGAAGTCAAGACCACTCAGTCTATTTTTCAATTTTCTTTATACATCATAATATTATTCAGTGCTTTCAAGTTTTTCAAGTAGGCCGATTTCTTATGATCTTTGTTCTGTTGTAGCTTAATTTGTGACTGTTTACTTGTCTTCAGTAAGCTTATTTTTACTTAGGCTAGTATTATTTTTTTGTGATATTGAAATTGGTAACAAAAATTGTGAAATTTCAGTGCATCAAGAATTTTGATGTGGGATAAAAATCCTATTTAAAGCTTTATATATATCATTATTGTGATGGGGGGGTCCTGCAGTAAGTCATAGCCCCGGGGCCCAGTGTAGTCTTAATGCGGCCCTGCCTAAGCCATAAGCATCTGTGTTTACAAGGATACTTGCAGAGCACAGTATTTCAGGCACAAATAGACACAGAAGTGAACGGAATTCGGTGTTCACGTGCATCTGCGTTGCTCTCACCGTGTCTACACCGGACGCGAGCGGAGCGACAAAATACTATAGAACTCATTTTAATCAGTGATGCTGTCTACACTGGATGCGGCGCAACACGACACGACAAATCCTCAGTAAACTGATGCCTCGTTTATGACGTACTGACACAAAGTTCAAATGATCCAGTGTAGATAGACTTTGGGGCCGTTCACATGTCGCCCCTAAAATGCGTGGAAAACGCCAGCCGAGCCTCTCTCTCCTTCTTTCCAAAGCGCTCGGGAGCTTGCGCTGTGTGTGAGCAAAGAAAACGATCAGTATAAATATAACGATCAGTGCCTTCTAAACATCACACACCCTGCGATGTGACTATCGCGGATGCGCACATCGTGATATCCAGTGTTGGGGAAAGTAACTTTTAAAAGTAATGCATTACAATATCGCGTTACTTACTTAAAAAGTACCTAATTACGGTACTTAGTTACTTTTTATGGAAAGTAATGTGTTACGTTACTTTTGCGTTACTTTTTCTCATCTGCCTTTGCCTAATTTTTCTCTCTTCAGAAAAAAAAAACAAAAAACAAATGTTATGTTTATCTAAAGCCATTTTTGCTTATTAGTATGGTTGATAATCGAAAGTCAGCAGCAAAGATACTGGTTAACACGGAATTAAATACATAAAGAATATTTGTGTTATTTAACATGTTTGCGTCATGTCCTGAGTTTGAGTTGACGTTTTTTTTTCATTTTGAATAATACTGAATCTGTTTTTGTGGAAGTGAGATGAGTAAATGCATGTTGACATTTAGTCTAGAACTACAGTAACATCATGTTCACACAGCACACACAATGCCTCTGCACTTACTCCTGATTTCTCTCAACATGAGGACAGGAGAGCTGTCAGTCAATACATGAGAAAACAAAGTAACTTGCATTACTTATTTGAAAAAGTAACTCAGATATTTTCTTGTAAATTAAAAAGTAATGCATTACTTTACTAGTTACTTGAAAAAAGTAATCTGATTACGTAACTCGTGTTACTTGTAATGCGTTATACCTAACACTGGCGATATCGATGCTGAAACGATATATCGTGCAGCCCTAAACGGTGGTGCTTGTCAATAACATTGAGTACAAAATAATACCACATGAACACTCGCATTCAAATAATTTTTCAACAATATGAAACACCTTCAATGGATTTACAACAAAACCTCCTTGGTTTTGGTGGTAAGTGGAAGTCTTCTTCAGCTCCAATCAGTCTTGTCCTTGCATCTTGTCCAGAACAAGTTTGACACTGTGGTTTGATATTGTGAAAATCTTTTCAGTAAATTTGAGTTTCTGTTCTTCCCATTGTCGCTTGATAATATAGGGGACATGCTGTAACTCTTTCTATATTATTGGCCAGAGACTTTGTAGTTTTGTTTTTCTTACTGACAATGATTGAATCTCCATACAGCTCCATGAGAAAATAAAAGTGTCTGGCAATATTGACACATAATGCACAGAGGTACTCAATCCTTACCGATAGCTTTAATGAACCCTGTATGAAAGGTCAGCTGTGATCTCAGGGCAGCAGTTGACAACTGGAGAGGTACAAAGGGGCTCCTCTTAGGTGTGTAATGACCCAAAACCGGCTTTGGGTCGGTGGGAAACAGAACTGAAGTTCAACTGCTTCTGACTCTCTCTTGGACACTTCAAACCTGGTCAGGGATCAGCGAGTTCACTGAAGACAGGTGGAGGGTTGCAAACGCCTACCTAAGCCTACTAAAAACAAGACTGTGTATGAAAGTGAGAAAAAAAGGGACAGATTTATTGTGGCAAAGCTCAATGGAGACATGATCGTGTAAAAGACAGAACTGAAGAGAGATCAAGATGTGCACACAAAGACTTTTGGGGCAGGGGACAACTTCCTATTGTTGCACTGTGGTGAGACATTCCAGCCCCAAAAGCCTCTAATCCTCCCAGGTTTACAGTCGCCTTGAAGTATTTGTGTTAAAAAAAAAATGCAGCTCAATGCATCCCTCTTGAGAATATGGAAAACCAAAATCTTAATTTCTCACTAAGCCAGAATGTACCAATTAGGTACACTCCAAAAGGAAAGAGATACAGTCAAAGACAGTAAATAAATAAACCAGATTCAAAATAAGTAAAAGAAGGTTTACTTCTAAACTTATATTGTTGGTAAAAAGAAAACAACAACAACAGTAAGACACATCCTCACCTATCATGGGTTTGCATAAAGTCCCAGGACTTCTTTGTTCCATTCTGTGAAAAAAGCAAAATTAAAAGATCATACATTTCTAAAATAACATAATTCAGGTATATGTCAAGCAAACAAACAAACATCGATATAGACAATATTCAAAACTATAAATCATTGCATTGAATGAGTCTTACATTTAAAAAAATTATTATTATTGCAAACTCATCACATCCATGTCCAAAGATGACCTTCTATTCCATTGGAAAAGTGGCTAATGACAAGATTTTTTTTTCATGCTGTAACTTCTATCATGGGAAAGTTTCAATTTCCCAGGTTAAAAGAGGTAGCTGGGCTGATATTTTGAACAGTGCAAATGTAATTGCTAGAGTAGTTGCTAGGCAACCAGATATCCATCCCAAAATTATATAAAAAGAAATTAGCCACAGATATAATAATAATAATAATAGCTGTTTTTGTTGTTTTAAGCCAAAAGAAAAAAAAACACACTGGATTGCTATAAGAAAGAGCACGTTCACATTAAAGATCTCATGGTAATACAATAAAATATACCAAGGTTAAAGAGATGCCATTTAATCTTAATTCAACTATTAAATCGCAACTTTTGAATTCAAGCTAGACAAGTAGATTTATGTATTTGAGTTGTCAAAACTCCCCAGCAATAATGGCAAAGGGTGTGTAGCTCTTAAAAGGTTAGTAGTAACAGCCCAGGCTTATGTTTTGTGTACAGTGCATGTACAGTACTAAGTGTCTCACTCACCCTTTTATATAAACCTCTAGCACTTTTGATCACCACAGTGCCTGAAGACAGGGATTCTATGAGACATGAATCTCACAAGAACTGACATGTTTCTGAAAAAGGTTGTTGGTGTTGCTCAAGATGATGGAGGATCAGCCCAGTGTGTGCGCCTGTACTCTATTTGAACGGGGATCACCTCATGTTTAACCTACAGGCTTGTAAAACATATTGCCTTTTCTTTATACCTCTAGATCAGTTTGACTTGTAGTTTGGGATGGTCAAAGCTCAACCAGTTAAGCTGTTCATCAAAGGTGATGCAACGTTATGCGCCCTGTAAGATGCTTGGCAATGGCATCACAGAAGCGTGTTCTCTGCCTCACATTTTCCCAAACAGAACAATTCAAATGATATTCAGAATATGCTTAACTCTGAGACTTTGCAGCCGATATTTGTCTCAACACATACTAGATCATGTGTCATAGCTGTGAACAAGTAGCCTAGAGCCTTTATAATAAGGAGAAGGTTTTGGAAATTAATCATTTTCTTTTCATGGGTGCTCTTTATGCTTACACCCACAGTAACTATTCACTCACCATAAAAGAGTGAATTTGCACATCACTCTGAACTTTGAAAAATTAAGCATAGCTCAGCGTATCTCGGCATCTTGTAGGACTGTTATGATATCCTACATCAGCTAAAGGATCATGATAACAGGCAGCATCATGAGACAACTTTCAATGTTTGAAGTGATGTTCATTATACAGAATGTGGTTCTATAAAAAATAATCAAATAAAATGTATGAAGATGGAAATATATTAATATAGTTATACAATGACTGATTTTAAAATCATTTTGTTGTAGTTTACTCAACTTCCATGCAGAATTTCACTGTGGTCTAGTTAAACCCTCAACATGACGGTCACTTTTTTTATGTGGATTTGACAGTTTTTAATATGCTCCGAGTCCTTATTCAATATCTAAGTGCAGTCTGCCTGCTTGGTGTATAAGCACAAAGCCAGAAATAATCAAAGGCGTCATTACACCTCTCAATGAACAGACACTGTGCTATTTAAAAAATGCAGCACCTTTTTCTAGTTGAACAGCTTAAGTGTGACCTACCTAATCATGGTTGCAGGTCTGTTAATAAGAAGCAAAGCTCCATTAACAGAAACAGTCATCGGTTACCTGAGGCACCAGTGTAAAACGAGAGTGTGGAAAGTGAACCTGCATACCAAGCACAGTCAGTGGATCCGACGGGGTCATGTTTGCTTTGGGCAATGCCGCTTTTAGTGCTAATGACCTGTATCTTTTGGCTCCAAAACGTGGCTGTTTTGGAGGGAAGACCGAGAGAGCGGAACAAACTTCAGTCTTGTAGCTCTGTTGGTGTCAAAGCTGCTCCATTAATCCAAAAGCAGCTAGTTAAATGCTTGGAAGGGTCCTTCCTCTCATACTCAAGCATCTGCTGCTTTGCTACATGAAAGAAATGTCAATGTTAAGAAAATATTGCATCTTTTTAACTAATGAATTTCCAGTCATTTGTGATTATGTTTAAAGATCTGAAAAATAATTTACAAGTAATTCAGATCTGCTATAATTAATCATTTAGACTGATCTGTGAACCGGTTTAATCAGTTTACTGATTCACTCACAAATCAGATGATACTTGCAAGCAAGGTATCCAGCTGATTAAATATTTTGGAGAAAACAAACTAAAAAAAATGTATATTAACAATTGAAAACCAAAAGCAGCTAGTTAAATGCTTGGAAGGGTCCTTCCTCTCATACTCAAGCATCTGCTGCTTTGCTACATGAAAGAAATGTCAATGTTAAGAAAATATTGCATCTTTTTGACTAATGAATTTCCAGTCATTTGTGATTATGTTTAAAGATCTGAAAAATAATTTACAAGTAATTCAGATCTGCTATAATTAATCATTTAGACTGATCTGTGAACCGGTTTAATCAGTTTACTGATTCACTCACAAATCAGATGATACTTGCAAGCAAGGTATCCAGCTGATTAAATATTTTGGAGAAAACAAACTAAAAAAAATGTATATTAACAATTGAAATTTTTCTGAACTTCCTTGACTTTCCAATTATCCCAGGTTTTCCATAACCATGAAAAAAAACAACAACCTTAAAACAAAGTTTTGGGAACAAAAATAATTGAAGTTTTACCCAATATTAAAACATATACACTTATACACTGCAGAAAAGATGCTGTTCACCTTACAAAAAGTGTTCTAAAAACACCTGAGTCAGGAAAGAGGTGTGTGCCCGCTTCCCTAATCATGTAACAATGATTCAAACATTTTTGTGTAGGTGCTAAATTCTTCAATCTTTCCCGCAGGGTCAGACAAGTGGGGATAAAAAGTGCCTTTTCATGGCAAGTGTATACTTGAGTACATACTTGTGGAGGCGAAAGTGGGTATGTTAATGTGTAAAGGGGGATGTAACAAGCCGAGTTTTAGATTGTAAAACAAAAGTCTTTACACTACTATTATCTGAGCATTCTTTGGTTCATAAGGGATGATGCCAACTAAAGTATATGAAGCAGAGACGACCCGCAGTTTTCTAAAAAGCTTGCATTCCATGAACGCAAACCCTTAGTCTTTGTCTGAACACCAGTATTAATCCAAACATCAGCAATTTGAAAGAGCACAGAGAGGGAGAGGCTATGCAAGTTCATGCATCGCAAAGACAAGCCCAAAAAGTGAAAGCGCTTCAAATTGAGCATTAGCTCTTACAGGGTAAGACACAAGAGCAAAGAGTAAAGGCTTTAAAATGAGGGTACAGATTAGAGTTAATGTTTGTTGCTCAACAGACAACGATGCGCAGTCACATACCACAGACACCAGGTCTATTGTTTACATAATCACTGCCATGACATCCTGAAGTATAAAAAAAAATGTGCTGGGATTTCAGCCTCTTTGTAATCCTAGTGCTGTCATAGGGAATGCTAAGTATTTCGAAGATAAATGTGCAAAAAAAAAAACCACTTCAAATCAGGGAAAAGCCTGTTAGGCCAGCTAACGGTCAACAGTAAACATGACTAATCACATGGAGCCAGCATCCTGCATCATCACGAACAGTTTTATGAGGGCTGTTTCTACTGGATGACACTTTATCAGTAATGGCTGGGTACTGATTTCACAAATCGATTCAATTCCAATAGAGTACAAACATTAATAAAAAGAGTGCTATCACGTGTGAGATGTGTATGATAGTCTAGAAGGTCAGAAAGATGAAATCTGAAATGGACCAACTGATTTATAAAATGTATCAATTTTAATAGTTTCTAAAATTCATGCCACCACACTGTAGAAGTGATACTAGAAATGGCCTTGATTCCAAAGTGGTGGACAAAATGTGCACAATTCTCATCTGCAGATAAACTCTGCAGTTGAATAAATAGCATCTAAACACCACAAGCCTTTACATACCATGTGAGAAATAAGCAACAGGTTGAGGCAGGTACACAGATGCCAACATTTGTTGAGAAAATGCATTTACTGTAAACATACAGGCAACTGAGAGCAAAATACTATTAGAATGGGAAAGAACAATATTTCGCAATAAAAGACCATTTCAAAGTAATTGATTTTATTTATGGCTGTAAGCTCTTGATGTTGCTTTCTGAGATCCTGCAATCAATGTTCCCTCTAAGCTGTGCGTGTCTGCGGCCGTGCACCTCTTACGTCACGAACGCGCAGAATAAATATAATATGCCGTGCACAGGACAGAGGCGAAAATGAGTTGGGGAAAGATTGAATTCTAGTAAATGTAATATAATTGCAATGCTAGGGATAACTGCTATAGAGCTGGTGTTGCTATAGGGTTAGAACCGGTGAATGCGGTTAACGGGTTTCATTGAAAGAGAATGATGTGCGCCAAATCAGTCTCTATAGAATTGAATACGAAATAGCTCAACGCGAGAGATAACGCAAACACAATGACATGTGAAATAAAACATCATCATGTTTTAAAGAAGAGTGGCTTGATTAAGTGGTGGAAATAGTGGATGATGAGCACAGAACAGTAACAAAACTCATTTTTGTGAGTTTACAGTCGCACTCAACTCTACTACATGGGGATGTTTTAGATAACTGTAAAATAATTCACATAAGTTTTTTTATATATATTTCATGAAAATATTAGTTTTTTTACATTCTTTTCTATTATAATATAAGCCTAAATAATTGACCTCAAAAAGGGAATTCATGAGCAATAAATGAGTTTCATTAGCTATATCATATTACATTATATTATATAATATTATTATAAAGAATTAAACTATTCTG